GGGGGGGGGAGGGGTTAGGCTACATATAGTTTCTACCTTTTCTTCTCTCAGTTCCGCCAACACTTTGTAACTTCATTAGGTGTTCTGCTATACAAACCTTTTCATTTCTGCCAGTATCTAAGGGAAGCGATGAAGCCTCAAAATAGTCTACCTAGCGCTCTTGGTCTTGCTGGAAGTCAGTAATCAAAGATCAGTAAATCATCAGGCATGTCATTGGTTTAGATTAAAAGCAAAAACTTTCCTTTATAGTTTTGGATAAAGAAATGGCTTAAAACCTGTCAAGTATTTTTGCTGCCTAGATCTCAGAGATTTCCCTTAACTTGCTAACAAAACAGGAAGGAAGCCAATTTCTCTAAAGCGAGGGAAATCCCCTCTAAGGCTGGCCATACACCTGTCAATTTCTTTTGTTCAACCCGCAAGCTGAACAGAAGAAATTGGCACGATTCCACCATCAACAAAAACAGCGTGTCTATTGAAGAATCGCCGTTGTTTGCATTGTATTCTGACAGGTGCCGCCAGAATACCCGATCAGTGCGGGCAGCTCATTGGCTGCCGGCTCTGATCAATCGAACATTTTCCAGCTGTCTCCTTCGATCAGCTGATCGAGGAATGCCGGTTGAAAGAGAGCCGACCAGCCCCACTTAAATGGCCAAATTTTATGAGATGGACAAAATTCGGCCAGTGTATGGGCACCCATTGAAAGATTTCACCTATATTCCTCTTCTGGAGACAACTCAAAGCTTTGGATTTTCCATCACTCACTCCTAGTCCTGGTGACAACAGATACTATGACAAAGAAGGTGGGTATATCTACAAGGCGAAAAACAGGCAAAAACTTGACCCTTCCACACTTCTAAAACTAACAAAAAAAAAAAAAGTTTTGGCTTTGGATACACCAACTCCCGTAAAACCTCCTCAAACCATAGAAAATAAAATCTATTCTTTGAATGTACAGACCAGAAGAATGAATTAAATATAAAGAGACTCAGTCATCAACTTTAAAAAATGCAAGTAAATGCAAGTAAAAGCACAGAAAAGTCAAGTATTTTAAAAGAACAAGTGCACTTTCTTTTGTACACATTTCCCTGCCCGGGAGCCCACACACTTCTCAGTAGATATTGGATGCACCAATATATCAGACCGCCAAAACATATAGGACAATAATGGCACTTTTGGTAAAGTGTCGAAAGTGCCATATAGCGGTGCATCCTATTCTCTCCTCCCCGCTGGGCGCTGCTCTGTGTCCCAGGGGGGAGGAGAGAAACTGTCACAGGCGGCCGAGCGCTGCGGGAGGAGAGTGTCACAGCCGGCGTCTCTCCTCCCACACCGCTCAACCTCCTGTGACAGCGTGTCAGGAAGGAGAGCGTTACAAGCAGTCAGTGATCGCTGAGTGTTAGTAAATAATTGAGGACAGAGTATGTTTACTATATCCTCAATTATGAATGGGAAGTGATCTACATCACCTCCTGTTCATTCATGATTGTGGTTATAGTAAAAATACTCTGTCCTCAAGTTATAAATGAACAGGAACACGCAGAGGATTCCTGTTTATTTAGAACAGGGGCTGCAGAAAAAGAAATTGAGGACTCTGTCCTCAAATCTCTTTTTCTATTTTAAAAGGGGAAATATCAGGGGTCTTTTATTTAATAAAAAATAAAATGGAAAAAAAAAATGGAAAAAGTTAAAAAAAACATTTTCGGTTTTGGTCTGACATTTTTAAACATTTTGGTTGACATTTTCATTTCGGTGCATCTCTAGTTCCCTGCCCAGGGGCCACTTTTTTGCACGTATTTCCCTGCCCGGGGGCTACAACTGCTGCATACAGCCATCCATAAAATGCAATTACGGGATGTGGCTGTACGTGGGCACACGCTGATACTTGTGTAAACACGTGCATGGACATAAAGCTCCATGTGCAGACAGTTATTATGACAAACTGATGATTTCTGCAAGAGGCCTTTAGAATTTAATCTTACAGAAGAAAAAAAAAAAAAAAAAAAGGGGCCTAAACAATGTAAAAAAAAAAAAAAAAAAAAAAAAAAAGGAGCCTAACAATGCTTATACTTTTCTTAACAAAAGAAATGTAATCTCTGTCAAAAATCGGTGCCGGGAAACTGACTCGACCATTTAGGGCAGCTTAGTCCTAATGACACATTTTAAATGAAAAATACCCCCAAATAGCTTTAAAAAGCATTTAGCCAGGAGGTGGCTTAACCACATGAAGAGAAAGACCTTGACACGATTAGAACATTGCCTTTCAGAAACCACTCCCTTTGCTCTTCAACAGCCTCACTTTCATATTACAAGCAATTATTGCCTTTCAATAAGGCGAGGGTCTAAGTGACCCGACAGGATGGGTCCTTATTCAGGTCTTGTGCAGAAGAACAAAAAACACTCCTGGCTACCATAATAAAAAGCAAAAAAAAAAAAAAGCACATGGCGAGAACAGCTTGGCCTGACCAGCCCACCTACCCAACCCATAGAGTGTAAATCAGTCAAATTGCGTTGAGGACATCGCTGTGACACGACAACTCTGGAGGACCTTCATCTGTGCAGTTTACCAGTCTCTTGTCTGAAATAATAGGTTATGCTGAAAGTGTCTCTCCCCTCCCAAATCCAATCAAAATGTGCTACAGCTGTAAAATATCTGTTAACTATACTTGGAAAACTAATTTAACAGACTTTATACTACTAGAGAAACAGCAATCTCAATTGACCCAGTTCAAATGAAACAACTCGGTCTCATCCGAATTTGCCCTCCGAGTCTTCAGCACAATTTGAGCTATGTACACATGGACAGGCAGTGGGGTAAAGCTGCCCATTCACGTGGCAACTACCACTTTCGATGGACCTCAAATTAAACATGGGATTGAAAGTGGTTGCCTGAAAAACAAGCAGGTCATCTACTAGCTGAATTCGAGCGCTCCAACTGGGCTTCAATAAAAAGCTGATTGGAAAAAAAAAAAAAAAAAAAGTTAGTCAAAAGCGGATTTTTCTGCCAGGTTTAAGCAAGGTAATTTCTATCCGGTCTCCTTGTGGTCGATTGAGGCGACTCTTTCACATTCCATCGCTCAAATGTTCATTCCAGCTCAATTAAAAGGCGTGTGATATTGCCAGAAAGTTGCCAATTTATGGCCATCTTAAAGCAGTTCTCCAGGATTTTCAAAAGTTAACCCTTTCACTGGGGCTACCCCCACACTGCAAGGGTTCAGTGTAGAACCAAGCTTTTTTTTTTTCTTTTATCCTAGACCAAAGCGAGCACTTAACCCTTGCAGTGCAGGGGGGTGTAGCCCCAATGCAAGGGCTATTTTTTTTTTTTAAATACCTGGATTTCTTCATTAAAGGTGTAGCTACACAGGCAAATTTAATCCCTTGCTGCTTAGGGATTTAACCATTTCTTAGCAGTTGTCTCATTGGGCCTCTATGTTGTGAGCGAGTGAAATGAGAGAGAGGAGAGAAGCCCAGGTGGGCCGTGTATAGACTTTTAAAAGGAAGAACTCCAAGATTTTGTTTATTATTAACTAGGGATGTACCGGTGCCGATACTAGTAATCCCAGGGTGCCAGATTCAGCTGGACTACACACAAATGGTAAAGGAATTTGTTCTTACATGCTGAGTATCTTTTAGAGACTGCAGGCAGAAACAGCAGACTATCAGCTGACTGCCTTGTGCAGACCGTGGAATTTGGGATAAACATTTTGTTCATCTCTGGGCTGGAAAAACTCTTGCAGGAGATCTGAATCTTTCACTAAATCACAGATCCTTCTGAAGTCTCCTCCTGTTATAGGGAGACCATGTTCTGTCCCGGTCTACTACATGGGGCAGTCTTGTTTACCATTGCACTCACCTATGTAGCACTGGTACAAAGTTCCCAAAATATAAAATGTCCCTGGCAGTTGTCTCCTTGCTTGAGCTGCCAAGAATTATTTAATTTGATTAAAAAAAGTACCACTATAGTGTATAGCCATACACAATTGATGTGGTTGATATCCTATATGTCTACATGTAAATAAATACCACCTCTGTAAGGACAGTGAGGTGGAAAAAGAAGTTACACATCAACCTAATATAGTTAGTCAATTAGCTCAAAATTTGCATTTAAAGGGCGTTTCCAGATAGTTCTCCCAAGTGTAACGGGAGGACACAAACCAGCGCCCTACCGTCACTCTAAGCTCAGTATACCGCGAGCTGCAGCTCGCGGTATACAGAGACGCCGGAACGGATCCCGACAATTATGTCTGGATCCCCCCAGCTGCGTGAGTGACAGCTGGCTCTGCCTATCTAGAGGCAGAGCCAGCCCCACCAGCCCCCTCAATCATCCGTTCCGCCAGTCAGCGCTGGAGGATCGGACAGGGGAGGGGGAATCCAGTCCCTCCCATCACGGCTCTCTGCTGGCACAGGATCGAGAAGTGAGCGAGCGCCAGTATGTGTTCACACACTTCCCGATCTACTGAGACAACCTGTGACAGTTTAATTGTCACAGGTCGGCTAAGATTATGAGGCTGAGTGAAAATCACTCACCTCATAATTCTCCTTTGAGAGTATGAACACAGCAACACCGTGATAAGAAACTCGAATAAAATTGGCAACGCTGTCAACACATCACTCAATTAAAAACACCATATCCAAACCCCCCCCCCTCCTTTTTTTTGTATTATAAACCGCTGAGGGGTATCGCTATGAATAATTTAAAGTCCACCTTAGGATACATGTCCATTCCCCTCTAGACCAAGGAGCATGTTCCAATTATACATTAACCCAATGCCGGTTAATAATAGGGGGATTGAGACCGATACAATTGACTCTGATATGTTCTCCCTGTAAATGACACAAAGGCACCGCTTCAATGGACTTTTCACTCCGATAGCACAATGGAAACTGATGCACTTTAGACTTTAAGAAACATAATTTCATTCCATGGAAACATCAGATGAGGCTAACCTTGAAGGGAAGCAAAAAAGTGTGGCTGATTTTTGCAGATCAGCATGTTACTGTAGCCGAGTCTTCCATATAATGAGGGGCACACATTGCATCGAATCAAACAAACGGAGGATCAAAGGTGATCTTACTATTTTCCTTCGTGATCAAGAAGGAAGTTCCGCATTTAGCAGCTCACTCCATAATTAGGCACCCATCGGCGATGCACTGCCAGGAGGCAGGGACTCCTTCCCGTTCACAAGCCGTGACAATGTCAGGGAGTACGCTTAGGGATGATCGCCTCTCACAATAGCAGTCTCACTGGATAAACAAGAGAGTTCACATATCAGATCTCCCAGCCCAGGAATAGATGCAGTGGCAGTCCCTGGTGTCCAAAAGGTAATTGTAGCACTCTAAAATCAGCATAAGCAGTCTAAAGCCATGTGGGTCATGGTGTCGGGTTGCTCCAAACACCCGTTTACGCATTTCACCTCCTTCGGGGCTTCATCAGAACGTAGAGAGGAGAGGGGGCCAATGATAATTTTGAAGTGGTCTCTAAGGTGACAGTTCACCTCGTATAGCAATATGGCAAACTCTTGCTTGGGACTTAATTCAAACAGACATTAAAATCAATTCACAAGAACATTTGCAGATTAAACTCCATATTCAAACCTCGTGGGGACAATATTGTCAGCCTATATATCCATGTTTTTCTTTTGTTCCAGAATTTTTTTTACATCCCCCCATGCGTGGGGGTAAATCCAGGACAAAAATTCCCTTCACCTTCAAACCTTTTATCTGACTATTGCGACACTGTGCGAAATGCTGTGCAATTGGACTATCCTTTTCTTTACATTTAATGTCTCGCAAGTGTTCACCAATTCTTATTCTTAATTGTCGCTTCATTTTTCCCACGTAAAAATTTTTACATGGGCACTCTAGCTGGTAAACCACCCTCATGGCACAGTTAATGAAGTGATTTTAAACCCCTTTCCACCCCCTGAATCACCCCAAAAAAAGTGTTTTTACACATGGGGACAGATTTGGCATCGTCCACAAGGAAACATGCCTTTTACTCTCCTAAAATCTGACAGCCAGGTATTTAAAGGGCTGGGAGTGTACTCAGAATGGGCCAAATGGTCTTTTAAATTTCTTGCTCGTCGTGCCACCATTTGGTGATAATCTCCCACAATTTTAGATAGGTCTGGGCACAGCTGGAAGATATGCCAGTGTTTTTTTAGAACACTTTTGAGCTCATGCCATTTTGATCCATACTGTGCAACCAGCCGAACAGGATTATTTTATTTCTGATCCTCCTTTTTACCTTCGTTGGATACAATGGATTCCCTAGTTTTTTTGTTACCAGTCAATACTGAGTCTAAGTATTGTATGTGAGTAGCCCCTCCTCCTGAACCTGTGAAAGAGGTCAGCTGACTCCTCCCTGTAGTCACACTCCATTGAACAGTTCCGTTTAATCCTTTGGAACTGTCCCACAGGGATACCGCTCATCAGAGAGCTCGGGTGGTGGCTCGTCGCACGTAACAGTGTGTTTGCTTCCGTTCGTTTGCGGAATGTCTTTGTTTGGAACTTCCCCTCATAGGAGCCAATTCGAAGATCCCCCCCAAAAAAAGGAGATTGACTTCCTGTATTTCATATGTCAACTTGATATTTTTTGTGTTCATATTAAGGTCGCCCATAAATTGGGAAAATTCCTCCCTAGACCACCAAAATATCATCGATGTACCGGAGCCATAACTGCACATGGCTCAGGTAAAGATGGTGCAAATAGACGACCTGGGCCTCACAGAGTTCCAGATAGAGGCAGGCATAGGCCGGTGCCCATGGTGCCCCCATCGAGGTCCCCTTGATTTGCTTATAGAACACAACTGCAAACTGAAAGTAGTTATTTTGGAGAGCGAACTCTAGTAATTCCGATAGGAATTCATTTTGTGGGCTTGCCCCGTGTCATTTACAAGGAGAACATATCAGAGTCAATTGTATCGGTCTCAATCCCCCTATTATTACCCGGCATTGGGTTAATTTATAATTGGAACATGTTCCTTGGTCTAGAGGGGAGTGGACATTTATCCTAAGGAGGACTCCGCAATTATTCATAGCGATACCCATCAGCGGTTTATAATAATAAAAAAAAAATTAAAAAAAAAGCTTCAGGCAAGCACAAAGTACACAAATGAATGCATCTCTATATTAATTTACATACTGCATCATTAAATGTATTGGATGCAAGCAGTGTTAAGTGCAAGAATCAGGACGTTGAAACTAGGGATGCATAGATACAGATACTAGTATCGGTGCCGATACAGAGTATTTGGGCGAGTACTCGCCCAAATGCTCCGATACCTTCCCCGATAGGTGCCGCAGGGGAACACGGAGACGCCTTCCCGGGCAATCAGGAAGCCGGGTGGCAGGTAATGACTCGTCGCCTGGCTTCCCGATTGGCCGGGGAGTCGGCTTCCTGGGCAATCAACATCAAGCTGGCTTCCCAACCAATCAGAAAGCCGGGGGGCGAGTAATGACCTGCCTCCCAGCTTCCCGATTGGCTGGGAAGCCTGCTTCCTGGCTGCACAGCATCGAGCCGGCTTCCTGGCCAATCAGGAAGTTGGATGGCGTGTCATTAACCGCTGCTTGGCTTCCTGATTGCCTGGGAAGCCGGCTCCATGGTAGCAGAAGCAACGGTATCGGTACTCGGTATTGGTGAGTACCGAAAGCAAAATATTGGTAATCTTACTCGATACCGAAAAACAGGTAGCGGTGCATCACTAGTAGAAACTGCCTCTAGCATTCTCCGTACAACAGAACCTGTGCCAAAGTGCTAGTTTGCCAACAGAAAGCATGCTGATCAAAGAGGGTCACACAGATGAGCTCACCGATCTATTGGTTCTCTTTACAAGCTGGGGGGGAACAAGACCTGCAAGTGCTACTTAAAGTGGACCTTTACACTCAAAAATCAAATTCTACCAATGCATCCTTCTATCTATGATGATTAATAATAACAGACACGTCAGGTGTAAAATGCTGTGATTTTGTAATACTTAAACTTGCAGAGCATTCCCTTCCTGCTTTGATAGTGCAAAATAACTTCAGTTTGCAAACACAATGCACACTGGGATTGCCTCGTCAGAGCATTGCTGGGAAATCTCATCTGTAATCTCAGGGAAATACATTTTCCTCCCCTGAGATGTGCGTGGTCACATATCCTAAGGCGCAAGTCTAGTCACATGTGCCAGAAATTCAGGAAGTGAAAGGCCACTGTCAGAAGACTGGGGAAGAAAAGAGAATAAGGTATGCAAAGAATACAAAGCCGGCAATTATCTAGAAGTATCTGTGTGTAGATTGTCATTACTAAACATTTCTAAAGGTGTGTTGTCATTTTAAAGATATGGGTAAAGGTCCGCTTTAAGCACAACTTTACATTCCATTGCTCTCCCTGTTAGGCCACAGCCTTCACTACACTTGGAGCATAGCCCAAAAGTTCATACAGCAGTCCCGTTCAGAAACACAACATATATCATTCCGTCAGACAATCCTGAAGCCAAAACTACCGAAATGTGTGTTTTCAGATCACTAAATGCAGCAAAAATAACATTCAAACTTCTCTTTACAGGGAATTTCCCGGAGTCACCAATGAGGAGTCTATTATGCGAGAAATATCCCAGCTGGCAGAGCATCTAGACTCCCCTGATCTGTGTTTGCAGGACACATTTATAGTGGCAGGATACACAAACCCCGCCGCCGCCAACAGGAGAAATGAGATCTGGTTCTTAGAGAGAGCGTGAGCCCTGCTAAGTTGTTGTACACCTCAGACTCCAGTGGTACCCCCATGGTGAAAAAAAAAGAGTTCAGTGGAGGAGGAACAAGACTCGGGACCCCAATCAAATCACACGGACTAGCACTGAATGTATGTGAAGACATCACAAAAATAAGAACCAATAGCGCCAGAGATGACCACTTGTACCTTTTACAAGTGATAAAACCAAGGTAGAAGGTTGTTTCATCATGCCAATGCTTCCTCATCTCCCAGCTCCCTTTTTACTTGCTCCACCTGCTCTCTTCAAGCTTCAGACCAGATAAAGTGATCTCCCACCTTCTATTTTCCAACTGAATCTCTTCAAACCCCCTGCAAAAGCCTCCCTACAAGTCACCTCTGCTGTTGGGGAGGTGGTTGGGCATCACCTTCCCATCCCCTTCACTGGCAGAAGCTGCTACACTGGGATTGGTCCATAGTCCAATGAAGGTACACTGAACCCAATTACTAATTTCAGAACATGTTGAAGGATTTCTAAATGGCACTGGCAAATCACTTATTTTACGTCCTAAAATGACTCTGTACATACCCATTTCATCCCTCTACATTTAGATAGGGACCTGAACCAGTGGACCCAAAAAAAAAAAAAAATTAAAAAAAAAAAAAAAAAAAAAACATTTTAACCGTAGCCTTAGGGAAATGAAAAATTATGACTGAATAGTCCACCCTCAAAACCTTTAGACAGATCACCAAGGCAACAAACAGAATCTCTATATATCTCAATGGGATAATTGAAATGTAAAAATCCAGTAGTCTTTAAGTAAACCCTACATAAACCTTTGCAATTAAAACTATGCACATAAAAAAACATATAGGCAGAAATTAATTTTAGTCAAAACCACGTGTCAAAAATGTTTCATAGGGTTAGGCATATAGAAAGCAGAGGTTTTATGCAGATCTTGACACTTCCTGTAAAAGTCAGGTTTGCCCTTGACCCTCCTGCCATCCTATTGGCCTATTAATGTAAAGAGGAGCTTCAATGAGCCTAAGTGAAATCAGCTTGACTTTTGACGGAGATATAGGATGCTGAAGTTGCATGCAAATCTCAATCACTGACAAGTCATTTTTTACTGATGGCAAGCTCTGCATTTCTCCCATATTATATGCACCAGTTAAATTTCCCAGGTTTGATACAGGTTTACTTTAGTAGAACAAGATTGCCATCCACTTATCTGTTCACATTTGTAGAGACTCCCCTGGCATGTCTTTTTCTATATGGCCAAAAGTATGTGGGATCGCTCCAAATTATTAAGCAGAGATGCAAAATATCAGGTCTATAAAGACATGGTTTGAGGAGTTTGGTGTGGCAGACCTTAAGTGGCCTGCACAGAACCCCGACCTCTACCCTACTGAACAAACATTTGGGATAAATTGGAAAGCAAATTGCGATCCAGGTCTTCTCATCCAACATCATTACCTGACCTCACAAATGCTCTTCTAGGCACAAATTCCGCAGACACACTCCAAAAAATGTTGTGGAAAGTCTTAGAAGAGTATAAGCAGCAGGAAGGAGAGCAATCCATAATTAATGTGCAAGATTTTAGAATGGAATCCCCAACAAACTCATATACCGTGTGCTGCTCCGGTGACCACAAACAGGTGGTTATATATTGTATAATATGAACTTTTATAAAGTTCTGCTGAAAAGGTTTCTAATTTTAACAAAGAAAGGGGTCCACTTGTGAAGAAACCACTATCTGTTGACATCACAGCACATATAGAGTGGTTTCCCACTTTCTTTAAGAATACAGACAGATTATTCCCCAAGGGCAAAAGGTGCTTTTTGTCGGCAGCAGACACCCAAAATAGAAACTGTAGGATTAAACCAAAGCTTTGTCTTTGCAGAAGGGTTAAAAGAAGCTTAACCCAATATAAGCAGACTTGGCTTTGAAAAGTCAAAAGCATAAAACAATTTAATTCACGTTGGAGAGTCCTAAATAGAGGAGTTTAGGCGGTAGTGGCTCTGGAACTGAGGGACATCGGAATTTTTTAATGAGGTGGTCAATGTGGCTGCTCCTAGACCTGCCCTGTACCTGTTGAAAGACCTTGGGTAAAACATGAAATTAGAGGGAAGAGGTCTTAAAGCAAATGACCATACAACAACCTTTCACATGACCTTATTATTCAGTGTGGGAAGATAGAACTAGGTGTTGTCCATAGAAAGCAGATTCTCCCCTCCTAGAGAAAGTCACAAAACCAAGGCACAAGGGTAAAACTCTAGGCTGTAGAGTTAAATGTAAGGATATAAGGGTTGTAATCCTCTTACTGATAAGATGATCTCAATCCCAGAATAAAAGACAGCACACTAACATTACCCTACCGGAAATAAATGTATGGCTAAATAACCTGACGTGAAAAAAACAATTACACATAAATGCATCTCGTCCATTTTTCCTGAACTTTCAAGAACGCCAAAGAGCATGTCATTGTCAAACTCCAGTGCTTGTGTTCACCCCAATGCACTGTACTGAAGGCCTGTTGGCTCTTTTATTTTTGGTGTGTTGATATGTAAAATAGTTAAATGAATTGGGTCCTTCTCTAAGAATTTTGCAACTGGTGTGATTGCAGCCTTATAGATCAGAGAATAGACTATAAATGGTGGTTTACTTAAGCTGAAGGCTTATTAAAAAGACTGAACCCGGGCAATAATTATTAGCTAGTAGCTTTATCACGGACTTCCTCCTACATAGTGTTGTGGTGATCTAAATACTGCTAGCGACCAAAGTCTAAGCTACCAGCAGCACACTTGTTCTCATGCCACTGACAAATTTGCTCTTATTGGCAATTTCCTCTTTCATGACAACAGACATGTAGCAAACCAAGTAACCGCCAACAAATGGTTAAGTCGCTCTGTAGCAGGAGATTAATATCTGTAGCTGCCCACGGATTTAAGAGGACAGTCATCTGTGCAGGCAACCAGCAGCAGTGATAACTCATTGCCAGCAGAGGTTGTTATAGCTAAGCTGGGTATTCAGTTAGAACTTCGTTCAAAAGGGTTGTTTTTTGAACAATTCATTCAATTCTCTAATAGTCAAATTGATTATCGTTTTCAACTACAGTGATGACAAAGAAAAAAGAAAAGAAAATTGGAGCAGAATGGAAATTTCTTCCTGAACTAATTAAATTCTAACAGTGAATGTAATTTTGTTTTGGAAACTCCAATTACTCCAAAACTGAATATTGAAATCCAAGTTTGCAATGTCTGATTCCATTATTGAATGTTCTGATGAGATTTTTCGTATGAATATAATATATACAGAATCCTAACCGTGTATACACAGCTTTAGAGATATGACCCTCTAAGACAGTGGTTCTCAACCTGTGTAACTTCGGGACCCACATTTGTCCTTGGTCATTAAGTCGTGACCCAAGTCGCACGGCAATGGAACGCATGGCATTGCGGTACTACACGTTCTGGTGCAGGCGATCGAACTGTGGGTGGGAGATGCATTTGGGGTACCATTAAAATGAACGGCAGCGCAACGCACCTCCCGCCCCAGAACGCACAGTGGATGAGTTTGCATGGTGCAGTGCAATAATCGCCCGAGACTGTGCAATACTCAAAAACACTGATGGACACAATCTCACACACTCAGACATTCAGACATTCTCACACACATATACAAACTCCCAAATCTTTTTTTTTAAGCTGCACATACTCTTCCTAATTTTCGAGAACTGGAGTGGATCCTCAGCCTGGGGTCCAGTGTGGACTGCTGTGCTGTGACGGAGCTCCATCTATATGTGCATTGCTTGTACTGCTCCTGTAGAGGTGCCAGGAGCCAGAATGTGATGTCACTCCGATCCAGGCACCTCTACAGGGCATGAGAGGGAACTGTAAGCAATGCACCTATGGATTGAGTTGCCTCACGGCCATAGCTGCAGCCCACCCTACCTCAAGCTGACACTCGGCACCAGACAGCATGTTTTGAACGCTGCCTGGTGCGAGAACTGACTGTGTTGCTGTGAGACTGAGAAAGCCTCTTACCTGGAAAAGTGGAAGGCACGCATCCACCCACTGAACATGGAGTCGCAACCCACCTTTGGGTCACGACCTACCAGTTGAGAACCAAGACTCTAAGACTAAAAGATGGAAGCTAAGATGATGAACACTAGACCGTTCAATTCTTGAACTGTCGCCAAGGACCAATTCATGACAATAGTACTAGCCACCCTCCCCTTGCTCATGATTTCTTCTCATTAAAACACAGGCAACACAAGCTATGTCCCCCAGCATGCACAGTTTTGGCGCAGAGCTTATGTATTAGGGATGCACTGATACCGGTATTTCTGTATCGAGTAAGAGTATCGATATTCTTTTTTTTCTGTACTCGCCGATACCGAAAGGCCCATTCAGGAAGCCAGGCGCCGTGTAATGACTCGCCATCCGGCTTCCTGATTAGCAGGGAAGCCGTCCCCATGCTTCTCTTCACCAAGCGACGAGAAAGCATGGAGCCGGCTTTCTGGCCAATCAGAAAACCGGGTGCTGTGTAATGACGCAGCGCCCGGCTTCCTGATAATAGGAATGTTTTAGCGCTTTGAAACAAATATGAAAAAAAGTGTCCACATACACTTTACCACTGTAGTTTAGGGTGCACAGCACAAAATAAAAGTGTTTCACTCACAGCCTACTCCCATCACCCTCAACAGACAAAAAAAAAAAAAAACAGGAGTTAACAGCAACAACATTTACACTGAAGAGGGGTACACTACGAGCCGCTGCCCGATTTAGAAGAGGTTATTGAAAAAAAACATATTTGTGCTACATATGCATATTTTAGTACCTGTGCTTCAAATCAAATCTATATTTGAATAAATTGTGGATATCGCTTTGTTTCGAAATAAATGATTGTTGCGCTTAAGCTAGAATGATTCTTTGTACTCTGAAAGTTTAATACATTTCTGCCAACCAAATGACTTGCGATAAACACTTGTAATATTCCATAAACTTGACATTAAAGCCAATATTGTGTGTGTACGTGTGTTTTCTGTAGAGTTGCATTACAACAGGAGTCAGGTAGCCACAGCTCCTAAAAAATTAAAGCTGGTGCCTAACTT